AGATTTCAAATCTTGCCTGTGCTTGTTTTCCATGTTATATATTTTGAATTTCCTCTACTTCCAGTCATACATATGTCTGAGTTACTGTGGCTTTACTTTATGACCATGAGGGGTAATGACAAGATGTCCCTGTTGTCCTTCTCTGGGCTTTTCAACCCCTCTTTTGAGTCTGAGTCGGACCGTCCTGAACTGCCTTCTCCGGCGTTCTTGTCTCAGCACAGCACGTACCAAGTTTCAGAAGCAGAAGTGTCCACAGCCACCTCTGGAAGCAGGCAGGCACTCAGAATTGCCCCACATCCGCACATGTCTGCAGTCTGAGCCTCCCCGGGGTGGACGCCCTCCCACTGAGTGTCTTCACGTGGAAATCAGGGCCGAGGCCGGGATTCCCACCGAAGAGGGGGTCCGGTCCCAGTTTGCGGGGAGAACCAAGGATCGGAGACAGGGCGACGCTTGGGCGGGTGGACCGCCGTCCTGGTCTCTGCCCGGGAAGCACCAGCCCCCTCGGCGGACCCCACAGCCAGCACCCCTCGCGTTCCTAAAACCCGCAGGGTTTCCTGGGCTGGAATACTTAGGTCTAGGCTAAAATGTCCTGGTGCAAGCTCCCAGGACCTCTTTGTGTCGGACAAACAAAAGCAACCCAGCAGGTCACTGATGCAGAGCAATGACTGCTTTCTCATCACAGGCCTCGCTCTTTGGTTTCTTAATTAAAAGCCTTGGAGATAATGAAAACACGTTCCTTCCCGCGAGTGGAGTTTCAGGTTGCTGAGACTCACCTGCAGATGCTTGGCCAGGTGCAGACGGGCTGAGCTCTCAGCTGAAATGCGGGCCTGCCCTGCTCCTGCTTGCGGCCGGGGTGGGCGCCTTGGGTGGGGTGAAGCCCGAGGGAGTCCGGGAAGCCCGTCTGCGTGGGACAGCGACACCTGCCTTCACACGCTGGCTCCTGCCTTGATTAGCTCCTTCCAGGTTGCAGGCCCTGCCGACTTTAAATTAGATGCTTGTCAGGGACTTAAGAAGGAGCGACCCCTCTGGGGTCAGCAGATCACGGAAAGGCGGGAGTCGGGCTTGGGAGGGTGGTGACCCGGCTGAGCTGAGGAGAGCCCGGGTGGGCTAGGGAGCCTGTCTTCTGCACGAAGAGGCTTTCAGAATTGGAAACATGTTGCTTCAGGAGAATGAGGGGACAAGATGCTGACTGGGAGAAGATATTTGCAAGACACGACTGATCAAGGGCTGCTACCCAAAACATCCCAAGAACTCTTATCACTCAGCAGTAAGAAAACCTGATTTAGAAACATCAAGAGACCCGGAAGGACCCCTCGCCAGAGAAAACGGACAGATGGCAGTAGATCTGCCTGTGGAAAGATGCTCCTCATCACTTGGTTGGAGAACTGCAAGTTAAGACGACAGTGAGACGCCACCACCCACCAGTTAGAATGGCCGAAATCCAGAGCTCGAACAACCCCGAATGCTGGTGAGGATATGGCGCACTGGGAGCCCTTGCTGTTGGTGGGAATGCAAAATGGTGCAGCCACCATGGAAGACAGTCGGGCAACTTCCTACACAACTAACATGCCCCTACCATACCGTCCAGTGATCACATGCTTAGGTATTTACCTAGATGAGTTAGAATCCTCTGTCCTTACTGAAACCTGCACGTGGATGCTCATAGCATTTTTATTTATAATTGCCAAAACCTGGAGGCACTCAAAGACGTCATTCACTAGGTGAACGGATCAATTGTGGTACCTCCGGACAATGGAGTATTTCACGGCTGAAAGAAGATTAGCTGTCAAGACACGGAGGAAATGTAAATGCCTATTTCTAAGTGAGAAGCCAATCTGGAAAGGCTTCATGCGGTCGATCCCACCAACTCTGTGACATTCTGGAAAACGCAAACTGCGGAGACAGTAAAAAGACCCGTGGTTGCCAAGGGTTAGGGTGAGGGAGGGCTGGACGGGGGAGCACAGAGGACCCTTAGGGCAGGGAAACTGCTCTGTGTGATGCTGTCATGCGGGGGACGTGCCCTTGCCCATTGGTCCAAACCACAGAGTGAGCAGCACCGAGAGGGACCCCTGATGTCAGCTGTGGACTCTGGGTGATAACGAGGTGCCGATGTAGGTTCACTGGTCACGACCCACGTGCACTCCAGGCGGGGGTGTTGGTCATGGGGTGGCCGTGCGTGTGCGGGACCAGGGAGCATGTGGGAATTCTTTCTGACTTTCCTCCCCGTTTTGCCATGAACGTAAAGCTGCTCTAACCACAGCAAAGTCTATTCAAAAAGAAAACAAAAAAAACCCCTTAGTGCTGGCCAGATAGACTGTGTGGGAGGACGCGGCCTGTGTTGTTCTGTGTGCTGGGTTTCCCTGTTAACATGTACATTTCTAAATTATTCAGGATGTAAAGCTTCACATTAAGTAGTTCACTGAGAAGTTAATTACAGAGTCGGTGAACTTGAGAGCCAGTGGGACTGCCAGGATCGCATCATCCTGGCTTCTCACCTTACGAGGAAGTGACTTCCACTGTCACACCCCAGTGACCAGCAGGGCCGTGACCCAGAGGGAGGCCACGGGGTGGAGTTGGACATAGACCTCAACCGTGCCGCTCGGGGCTGGCGGGGCGTCTTCTTGAGCTTTTCCTATTGGGGGGAGCTTGCCCGTCCTTCAGCCCCAGGGGTTCCTGCCAGGACAGGGAGCACCGCGGGACATCTTCGACTCACGGGCATCAGGAGGCTCCTCTTTCGGCCACCACAGAAGCCGAAGGCCACGCGACAAAGAAGTCGTCTGTTGGAGATACCCTGGCTTCGGCATGAGATGCTCGGGCCGCTGAGTGTCACCGTTTGGGCAGCATGAGCGCTGAGTGATGGTGTGATCCTGCCTCACCCTGCAGCGCCTAGAGGCACAGTCACTCATGTTCCGCGCTGATGCCCACCTGCTTTAAAATCATCGTATGGGGGACATTTATTTGCTTACAAGGGCTAACCTGGGAGTGTGTGTTCCAAGAGTCACGAAAGCACTGATGTTTAGGTGCGGTGGAGGCGGCCTGGGTTTCACCTGAGCCCACGACTGTGCTCGGGTGGACTCCCAGGTGGCCGTGGGGGCACTTGGTCTGCAGGCAGAGAGGGTGCTGCAGGTGGATCTGCATGTTCTTGGCAAGCGAGGGGAGTGGGTGCTGGATGGGTCGCGAAACGTCCACAGCTGGCTCCGTGGGAAGGCCCTGTGTGCCCCATGCAGATGCAGGCCCAGCTCACCCCAGTCTAGGACTGCCATCCTGTGCCTGTGTTCCTCACTGACTCAGCACTGGTCTTCCACTGAGCCCAGTTCTCCGGGGCGAAGGAGGGAGACACACCGTGAGTCATCAAGGGACACAGGCCGAGGGTGGAGCGGCAGGTGTCTGTGTGCTAGAAGTGCCGTCTGGATGGGCGGCTGTCAGCTGTTCTGACAGCCTCAGCGGTCAGGAGTCTGTCAGGCCCGGAGGGTGGCAGCAGTCGGTGCTGCGGGAAGTTAGAAGTGGCGGGTGGCAGAGCAGGGCAGAGGCCACACTGTGAGCGGCCAGCCAGGCAGTCGGTGCTGGGCGGCCTCCAGGCATCAGGGCCCAGCCGGTGGCCCTGGAGGGGCTGTGTGGACCCTGATTCATCCTCAGCGCGTCTCTGGAAGGCAGAGGGGCAGTGGATGTCAGTTTCTTCCTTCCTGCGTGACGTTCCCCACTCACCCCATACCGCCCCCCCCGCCCTCCCTCCCTGTCTCACCTCCCAGCCCCCACCCCACCATACTTGGTCAGGACCCTGCGGCCTCTTGGTGCTGTGGAAGGGTATGGTTCCACCCAAGTCAAGGTATTTTGTTTCTCTTCATTGAAACTGCACTGAAGGGGGTTCTGGGCTTCCTTTGGCTTTTTCGCTGGCGCCTGGTGTCGCAGGGCCCCCTCGCTGGTTGCAGGCCACCCGGTGAGACGGGCTGCGGGCTCTTGACAAGGGGCCCGGTTCTGTGAGCACAGCGGGGGGCCTTGAGGTGAGTTCTGCATCAGTGGGGTCTGCAGGCCCCAGTCAGAGAGGGGGGCCATCACTCTGCTACGGACAAACTGTTTCCAGAGTTGATCTGCTCTGACTCTGATGAGAAAGCGTGGCTGCCTCAGTGGAACCGTCCAGAAGCTCCCTGGGAAGAGGCCATGTTTGGCTGTTTCCTCCTCACGGTCTGGGTGTCACGAGGGGTTGTTTTTGTCATCGTCCCCCGCGAGACACTGTCAGTGAGCACCTGCTCACCTTGGGTGTTGGGTGTGAAGAGGCAGACGCGGCCCGTGTCCTTGGGGGCCTTTCAGACTGGGTGTGGCGACACTCGGGGTGTGGGGAGCAGTGGGGGATGGAGGGTGTGGAGGAGTCGCCCGTGAAAGCATCTGCATGGGTTCTAGAGCTGCTCCCCCCTCCTGTTTCTTCCTGTGGCACTTTTGAGATAGGGGTGCGTTTTTCACCGAGGGGTGTCATTGTTAATTGGCGGCATTTTTGCTCCCGGTGGTGAATTGACAGACGTTTGCCAGGGATGGTGAGGTTAGATGCCAAGTCCAGTGGGCAGGAAGGGCAGGTGTCTTGGGAGAAGTGGGCTGGCTGGGCGGGACGCGTGCCCCGAGGCGGAAGGGGGGTCAGCCCAGGCTCGCCCCGGGGGAGCGTGGCTGCTTGGACGTCTCACTGGGGCACGGGCCTGCAGCGCCCTCGTGGGACGCCAGCCTCACGGGACACCGGCGCGCTGTTCCCTGACCTTCACACATGGGAGTTGGGCACGGCCTCCGTGTTCCAGGAAGGGGTGCCGAGGACACTGTGTTCCTCCTTATTCGAGGACTGAGGTGCCGCTGGGCTTGTTTCTAGGGGAACGCTTGTCTCGGGGGGCGTGGGTGTACTTTCCATGGGCAGAAAGTAGCTGGGTGGCCCATGTTTTCTTAGTGGCCGAGAACCCCTGCAGGCATCGTCACTGCCGGTTCTGAGCCCGCCCGCCCTCCTGCTCCGGCGTCTGCCTCCTGCCGTGCTGCGCGGCTGGCTTCCGTTGGCTTCCGTTTCCATCTGCTGCCTGTTCTTTTGGGGCGAGTACCTTGGTGAGCTCGTGGCGCGCTCGCCCCAGCGCGGGGCTGTCCCGGCAGGCCCGGGATGGGACACGTGCGGGCGGGCTGGGCAGCCTTAGGCCTCGTCAGCGGGCCGCCTCCGCCCCCTTGCCACGGGCTGCGGGCCAGGGGATGCCAACCCCGGGGCACCTTGGAGAAGACACACCCCACACACGGCAGCGGGAGAGGGAGCTTGGGTGCGACCTCTGACTGAAGTGGGGAGAAGGCACCGATGGAGCAGGAGTCCTGTGTTTAAAAATTGCTTTTTGGAAGTAAGATCTCTCCCACCCCTTTGCCTTCACGTGCGATTTTTTGGAGAGCCCCCAAGATAGATAAAACACGAAGCTCTGCAACGGAGGACCCAGAGCCCGACCCCCTCTGCCTCCTGTGGGCTCCCTGAGACGCCCCAGAAACCTGGGCCTGCCCCCTCTTCCTTCCCCCCCATGCCCCTTTCCTGGAACACAGGCTGCACACCACCGGTCCATCCAGGCCCTGGTCTTACAGGTGAGTGCCCCCAGGCTTGGGCACATGCAGTGCCGGATTCAGCTCGCCTGGTGACGGACCCGGTGATTCCCACCCAGCCTTCTGCTGGGTTGTCCCCAGGCTAGAGAGAATAAATGCGGAGTGGCCACCGTCACTCTCAGCACCACCTCAGCTCCCTGGAGGGTGGAGGGAAACTCCTCAGGCCACGTCACTCCTGGACCAGAGAGGACTGGACCCCTTGGGGCCACCACCTGGTTTTCCCTGCACCTCGGAGGTGGAAGCCACCTGCTGGGTTAGGAGTTCCCCGGGGTGCTCCCCCGCCCCTGGGTCCGAGAATCTGGTCTAGCATAAGCAAGTTCTTAGCGCGACCTCGCTCTTGACAGCAGAACGTGTGTGGCTCTTCCGTCGTTAGTGGATCCCGGGAGTTTCTTCCCATCGATGGCGAATGCTCACCGTGGGGTTGAGAGGAGAACGGCACTGCATCTGTCGGGTTGAAGTCAGGGGATGACCGTGCAGTGCAGTTCCCCGGAGGGTGCTCGTAGCTTTTTTGAGGGTCAAGTTCTTCTTTCTAGATCTCTTGCTGTCTTTTAAAGCTGGCTTCACAGCCCCCCAAGTCAGCCTACATTTGAGAATCAGTCTTGAGGCACATAGCAGGAGAGGGATGTACTTCAGCTGAGTAAATAATAACTATGCATGTGTTAAAATACCAGCCCAAATCCACCCCACATGCTAACGCTTCTGTTTTGCATTTTATATCCATTTATGGTGATTCCTTCAGTATTAAGATCTGAAAAGATTTTTGTGGTAATTTTAATTATGGACAAATTACTATTAAGACTCAGCTGCATTTGTAACACTTTAAAGAACTAATTGGATTACACTATTTGTTAATTTTTCCTGAGGCATTCTGCATAGTTATATAATTAGTGTTTCTCTTTCTGCCAGAAATCTTTTTTTTTTTTTAAACAACAGCAACCTAAAATGAAACATTTCTTTCCATGAAACGATATTTCACTGTGTGAATGCCAATTTGTGAATGTGAGAACAAGATTATTTTGCGTTTTGGGATAATTCTTGCTTAATAGTGATTCTGCTAAATGTTAAAATTGTGGAACTGGTTGTTTCTTTGAAAATGAGTCTTTTCCTGCTCACCAGGTGGAAACTGGTCAGGACGTGAATGTGAAAGAATTAAATTGCATTTAGCTTGTGTGATAAGACGACAGTTAACAGAGTGCCCCTTTGGTTTTGCTGTTCCTGTGGTTGCCTGGCTGCAGAAACGAGGCCATCGCAGGCCCCCGGAGTCCCCTCTCCTTCCCTTCCACGGTCGAAGAAATACTCCCAGGCGAGCACAGGGGTCTGCAGTTCTGGCCACCAGGTGCCACGGACTGGTTGGTGATGCACGTACGTGTGGACAGTCCGTGGGCGTGCCACCACCCAGACACAGGCCCTGACAGCCAGGGCTGGCCCTGCGCAGAAACATCCGTCAGGAGCCATGAGAAGAGGACACGCTGGCCATAGGAGTGCGGGTTGGTGCCCGGCAGCTCTGAGCATGGAACGGGGTGGGGGGGCTGGTGCCTGAAGCTGGCCCCGGACCCCAAGTTCCCGGGACTGGGCTGTGGTCAGGAGGGCAGGTGAACGGCACGGACTGGACTTGGCTGCCCCAGAATTCCAGGACTCCGGTGGATATGGACAGTAAGTGTGCGTGGGGATGCCGAGAAGACTCCTTGCGTAAAGGCAGAAGAGAGCTCGGAGCCGCGCCTGGCGTGAGGCAGCACCGTGCTGGCGGCCGAGGCCATCTGACTGAGCGCCGTTAGCTTGGGCACGCGTGCCGGTTCCGTCCTCTCCGTCGGGCCAGGAGTGTGGGTGGCCGTGCTGTCGACTGGCTGAACACACTGAGGACGGAGGAAGCCCGAGAGCGAGGCACCCCTCGTGAGGGACCCACGTGAGCCCTCCGTAAACGCGCCCTCCTGGCCAGAACGCCGGAATGGAATCACCCTCCAGGGAGCCCCGTGGGTCCTCAGCGTGGACACATGGTTGTTATGGGCATCGGATGTGCATCGCTCGGAGTGAGTGAGACCAGCAGGGCCTCCCACTCCCTCTGGCCCTGGGCGGTGGTCTGGGGCACGTGGCTGCAGGCAGAAGACGGCATTGCTGGGAACTCGCTCATCTTCCTGCTTTCCAGCTGTCTGGGCATGCAGGGTTTCTGTGTACCTGCGTCTGCGTTTGTGTGTGGCTGAGACTGCGCTTCCCACACACTCATTTTCGCTGCCTTCAGGACCTGTACGGTGTGGCCGCGGCTTCCAGGACAGGCTAGACGCAGCGCAGAGTCCTGTCTTCGCTGCCAGTGTTTGCAGACGCCTTTTGTAAACATTCTGTATTTCTTGAAAGTTCCGGTTTAGGTCCTTTTACTTAGCTGAACTTTAAAAATTCTCATGCACGTGACTTTGCCAGTTACAATCACCAGTCAATGTGGGTTTTTCATTTATTTTTCTGTGTCGAATCATGTGAGCATTTGTGTGTGCTGAGTTTTGGCGGTGGTCATCTACCTGCTTCTTATTTCCTTCTTTGTTATGTTTAGTGACTTTCACTTTCTGGTAAGCTGTGAAAGTCAAGGCCAAAGCATGACTTACAGGCTGCCATGCTCTGTGGTCTCTGTGGGGAGCCGGCTGCGAGAAAGGTCAGTTTTGCTTCTTGGTCTTGACCTCCGGCTGGAACTCCTGTTTCTGAGAAGGACTGAGTAAAGACTTCCCACCTCAAGGGACGCGTACACAACCACACAACAGAGCAATGTGAGAAACTCACCTTCTGCTTACACACAGTCCAACAAAGATTTAGCTTGCAAAGTTCAAGTTTTTCTTCTAAGTTGTTAATTATATAGCTTTTTACCTGTAAGTCATTGACTCGGTAGCTTAGGTTTAAATATATATTTATGTATTTCTTTGTTCTAGAACAAATCACAAATTCTAAAATCAATGCCAAATAATGTAATATTCATTTAGGTATATGACTCCTGAAGGAAAAACTACCAGTATGTTTAAAATATTTGATACATGTACTTTAAAAGCAAAGCATAGGACTCAGAGTGCATGCGCTTTTAACATATAACATGTAGAGTAGCTTCGAGCTATATTTGTAAGAATATGTATCATACATCGTTTAGGATACCAATTCAGATCTGTGTGCATGAGTATGTATAAATATTGCATGCTCATCTCCATCAAACAAAAGAAGCCATTAACACTCTTCTATAAAAACGTTATATTTTTAATATAGTGTAAAGCCATTTTTTCCTTCCACAATTAAAAGTCAACTTTCAGAAAACTCTTTTAACCTCATACGTTTAATTCACCTTAATGATATGCCTGTAGGACAAAAACAAGACAGAAACTGAAGAAACCAAGTAGCGTAAATGTGTAGACTGCCTGTTAAAATCTTCAGGACCACATATCTAGGAAGGTGGACGTTTACAGACAGAATACGCAGAGGGCCTGTGAAGTGCGTCTGGTAGAAAGCAGTCTGGGGTTTCCTGTGTCCCAGGTGTAACTGCAGTTGGTCACATGTTACTGCAGCACCTTGGAAGACGCCCAGGAGTTCTGGACAAGGAGGTCACACCTGCAGTAGAAGGGACACATTGTAAAACACAAGCCCACACTGTGTTGTTGCAGCACAAAGGTTAAACCAGGTTTAATTGTTCTTTTAGTTTAAAAAAACTAATAATGAACAGCAAACTCTTAAATATGTGTTGAGTTTGGCAATTTTTAGAGCAACTGTGTGTATCTGTATCTCACGTATTTCTATCTCTGTCTCCTGTTGGGTACTCCCTTCAAGGAGGATGAACATGGCCTCATGTTTTGTTGAAGAGCAGCAGGTCCTGGAGGAGCCTAACGCCCTGCGGAGCGTCACATACCTGATTGGGGCTGGGAGGCCTGAGCCTAACTCCGTGCTCCACGTTCCTCTGAAGACTTCATAGTTCCAAGCGTTTATGAAATGGGGAAATTAACCTGGAAAGTGTTTTTCTTGGTTTTTTTTTTTTTTTGAGTGGGAGTCTCACTTCGACATCCAGGCTGGAGTGCAGTAGCACGTTCATGGCCACCCCAGTGTCCACTCGCTGGGCTCCAACCGTCCTGCCTCAGCCTTCCAGAAAAGTTGTTTTCTTTTTTTTTTTGTTTTTTGTTTTTTTTTGAGTTGGAGTCTCACTCTGTTGCCCAGACTGGAGTGCAGTGGCCGCTCCCGGCCCCTGCGGCCTCGACCTGCTGGGCTCTGGCAATCCTTCCGCCTCAGCCTTCCGAGTAGCCGGAATTACAGGCATGCGCTACCACACCCGGCTGATTTTTTGATTTATTGTAGAGATGAGGTCTCGCTGCCCAGGCGGGTCTCGAACCCGCGGGCTCAGGCAATCCACTCATCTCAGCCTCCCAAAGGCGCGGCATTATGTTTTCAAACACTTCTGTGTTTAAACAGCACAGTAGGATAAAGTGACACGTTGGTTTGGAAACAGTATCGTTGGCTGT